CACTTTAATTTAAGTGAAGTTTACCTGCCCGCTCTTCTAATCTCTATCGTGCACTTCTAACCCAGAAAAAAAAGACAGTGTCCCTTCTGTCCTCCATATCTCTCAACCTCTTTAGTGCTCCTTTTATCAATGTAAAATAATTACCTCGAGGAAACATGACTGAGGTATAAGATGGGTCAGGCAGAGCATCACTCTTCTCTTCTCCTGTGCCAGCCTGAGCCCTGGCAGTCTCTCTAACCGTACATAAAGGAATTTCTTGGAGAACTTTATATCAGTTTCAGTGCCCACCCCCCTACGTCCCCCTTCTTCCACCTCTACCAGCACCACCAGCTACCAGATGCCAGGCATTCCACTTTAAGGTTACAGGAGACAAAGTTTGGGCTCCATCTCCTGAATAATTTGTCACATTGAAACTAAGCCAAGTGCCAGGGGCTTATCATGATATAGCGATGGAGAGGACAAGAGATTCTGGGTTAATTTACAATAATAATAATAATAATAATGTGAAATATTATTACAGTTTAATATAACTGTTTTCTATTTTTTTAAATATAATTTTTGTTCCTATGAATTTCAATCAGTCATTACTCCAGTCTTCAGTGTCACAAGATCCTTCATTCTAAAATCATTCTAATATGCTGATTTGCTGCATCAGAAAAATGTATTATTATCAATGTTGAAAATTGTTGTGCTGCTTAATATTTTCAAGAACTGTTTGAAAATGACATTCAAAAGAACAGCATTTATTTGATATAGAAACCTTTTGTAACATCAAATGACACCTTTGATCAATTTAATTGAATAAGAGTATTAATTTCCTTCAGACAAAATTTTACTGTAAATGTATTTGTTTATTTATTGCCAGTGAATAACTACTTAAATGTTGTGTTTTTTCACAAAATGGCCATCTTGGCATATAGTGGCAACACATTTAATGGTTGACGTTTTAGTTTTAATTTTGGGTAAGTGATTATATTCAAAAGCCAACAAGACACTTTTTTGTATAAATTTAGATGACTAAGAACGTTCCATCTTGGTTTTGATTCCCCTGAAACCTGTTTGGAGTTCAGTGGTTGACTAGCGCCTCTAGTGGTGTGGTGGTGTCTGCCTTTTCCTCTGGTTCTTCTCTCCTAATAGCTCTGCTGAGGGGTAATGGGCTGTGAAAGTGCTTGTATCCACCCAAAACGTATTAACATACAAGGACACAGTTGAGCCTTCAGTAAAACACACACAGGCCCACACATGAGCTCTGATTCCACAAACTGAAGCCTTGGGTGGGGTGTCAACCGTCGCAGGTGTCACAGCTTACTTTTAGCCCCTGGCAGTCGTGTAAAGCAAAACAGCTTTTCTGATGCAATGCCGTGGCATTCAGATTTGTGATGGCTGTTTATTTTTATATACTTCGCTCACGGAACATAACAGGGTGAAAGAGGGGGGAAACTCTTATTACCAGAAGAGTTTCCATGGGTCGATTTCACCTTGTAAAGGCAGGGTGGAGCGGTGAGGTCAGTTGGTTTGTGAATGAGCTCCAGTGGCTCCTGCTCCCCAAATCACTTCACTGAGATGTGTAGAAAAACACCCTGACACCTGGGTCTGAATGGCAGCCTACAACAGGCGCACACAGGATACTATTGATGACATCGCAAGAAGACGCCCGGAAAACTCCATAAAGTCTGTGAAGACTGTAAGGGCCTCTTCAATGCAAGTAAGAATTTCCAATTTCACATTTGTTGTCACTGATGATGTCATATGATTAATGATCCCATATTATGACAGTTGTTGATTCAAGATCTTCAAAATAGGATAAGCTTTTCTTAGACAAATTTATTATTCTATTGAAACAGTGGTTGAGTGGTTCTCAGCCTTTTTTAATTTAAGGCCAATATTTGAAGGTCATATGATTTTTTTCCCCAGTGTAAAAATGCCCATTAAGTGATAATTCTATTAATTTATGTCATTTTCAGTACTTGAAATCACATTTATAAGTAAGATAACTCATATATAGAGTTTTGTTTAAGACACTGGGAATCCTGGTTTTTCAAAGAATCAAAACTGGTCAACAGTTGTTGAACAGTGAATCGAAATGATAATACTGAAATAGATTTATTTTTTCTTTGTAATGTTTAGATTTTTAGTTGTTTTGAATTGTTCTAATACTTGTTTCTTTTTTTTATATTTTGAGGCCCCTTAGTCTGGTGTTAAGCATGACCGTTTCTGGGTCCGGGACGTTCTATGAGAACATAAAACACAGTGTTTTGTAATACTACTGAAATTCATGATTCTAACCTTTATCTCCATATCAAAATCTTATTTGGCCAGACAGTGATTCATCTTTTATGAATAGTTAAAATATGGAGTCTTGGATGCAGTGAACCAAGTGTACTGTCAATGTATAGACAAAAACAGTTGAAACATTAAAAATATCTTTTGTGTTCATTTGCAAGGGTACATTATGACAGAATCTTTCATTTTGGGGGCAACTGTCCCTTTAACAGTGACACTGAGTAGTTGCATAAGTCCTCCATCTGCCATAGCAAAAGTAGATCATGTCCAGACATTTCTGTGGACATTGAAGTGATGGAAATCAAGACCTGAAGTGGTTCACTGAGGGATCCTTGACTATTTACATTGGTTAATGGCATGATTAGCAGCTAAGATTAGAAAGATTATTACGTTTGGGAGCAAAACCGAGGTCTGTTTTCCCTTTGCAAAGCACTATTCATTCTTATTTCAATATCTGATCATCTTTGAGGGACTCTCATTGAGAAAATTGCTTGGATAGATCAAACGAACCAGCAAAGAACACAAAAAGCCATTGCTATTAAAGTGTGTGGCTAATGATGGTCTTCAAAGCCCCCAACCCACTGAGGAGAGTCGTCATTACAAAAATATGCTTGTCCTCATAGGAAACAGTTCACCTGGTCATAAAACTGAGAGCTTAGTCTCGCCTCACTCCTATTAATCCCGCATACGCAAAGGTAGCCAACAACATCGTTCAAGATCACAACAGGTTATATTTATCCAGCAGTAGTAAAGGTTTGAATTCACAGGAGAGTGCTAAATTGACTCTTAAAAGAATATTTGGGTTTAGTACGAGTTGATCATTTTTGCCATAATTTTGATTGCCACAAAAAAAAAATGAGAAGGAGAAGGAAAGTTAAGGTTTGGCGAGGTGCTGAAAATGGAAGCAAATGGGGCCAGTTTCTGGAGGATTTAAAAGAAAGGTGAAGTTTGAGAAGTTTGTAACTTTATGAAAGCATTCCCATTATTATTCCCACAATTAAAATGTGTGTATTATTTGAGCTGTAAAATTGTTCTTCTAATTTTTATTCTCGTTTTATGATTTTAGATGTTTTCATGGCAAAAACGTTATTTGTTATATAAAACGTATTGTTTTCAGGTCATTGAATGTCTGAAAAGTGACGTACAGTAGTAATCTGATGATTGTCAGCGGCGTAGGTCAGTATCTATTGCCGCAATGTGAATTAGCCTATAATTTTGCTTTACTATCAGGTTTTGTCATGACCCAACCCAACTGCACAAACGCAAATGTGTTTTCTTGAACTTTGGGTCCAAGCCTGCCATATGAACGCGATGTATGTAAACAGGTCTGTAATTAGCCGCGTGCCTGTTTATTTTCTGTTCCATTACTTACGAGACACACAAACTCAGATTAGCATCTGATAACGCACCTAATATCCAGCCAGGTCAGGGGCTGCATGGATGGAAGGTATCCAGTGGCTAGTCTTAGCCATAGCTCCTTCCGAGCACAATGCCCCACTTGTTGCTCTGTCTCCTCTGGTATGATCCAAAGCCATATCAGGCCCTTCCCGAGGCTTCAAATCCTCAATTTTTCAGTGTGCACTCAATCTAATCTTGGGTTTTATGATTAGATATTATGATAAAGTTGGTGTTTAAAATTATCTACAGATTGTATATTGTTGCACAGCGGCTAATTGGAACTGAATGAGCTCATTGTTATTGGAAAGGCGTATCAGATGAGCACCACGATGATGGTTAATTTAGGACTAGATAAGAGATTCTGTAACATTGCTTGTTCTTACACACTCTTCACATAATTATGCAAGATAATCAAGGGATTTTATTCCTGGAGTATTCGAATCGGGTAATAGGGGCCATTAACTGTGCTAATGCATATCTCAGATTGTGTCCTCAAAACGCTGCTTTACACATTCTGAATTAAGTATTTTGTACATATTATCGTTGCAATTCATCCGGGAAAGGTTCCACTTGAGAACTGTTGCTAAGTGGTTCGCAGTCTAGATCAGTCAGTCAAGAAATGTAATCTCGTCTCATAAAACTGACTGGTTTAATTGGCTGAGAGTTTGGCAAGATTACACAAAAACAGACTTCCACTGTACTTACTGCTGCATATGTGCTTATAATCTTGTGCTGGAACGTTTAGGACAGCAAATTTGAGCCGTTTTGTGAAAGAATGCTTTCGCCGGGGTGAAATCGATGCACTGTGAGCTGCGCCAGCACAGTCAGAATTTTCCAAAAGGTACTTTCTGGGAAAGATTTGTGTGTTTGTATGAGTGCAAGCATTTGTTTGCAGATGTTTATGTTGGAGGTGGGAAAACAAGAGCTTAAATGGTTACCGGGAAAAGAGGAGGGGTACAAATCCATCCCTTTACTCCACCGACCCCACCCCATCCTCTATACTGTTTCCTTATTCTGCCCGGCCACAGACACTTACCTTTTGTATGGAGGGAACCAGAGAAACAATCCACTCTCTCTGTTTGGAAAAAAAATACATGCAAGAAAAGAGACTGGGAGCTTCCAGGTGCTTTGCCCCCAGTTAAAAGCCCTGTAAGGAGGTCCTCCTCTTGCCTGGAGTCAGGAGAGCCACTGCCTCGTGAAGTTGAGCACCCTGCCTCTCACATTCTCCCTCTCCCTCTCTCTCTTTCTTTCTCTCTCTCCCTCCTACTTTCCACCCTGTGAGAGTGCACAGAGATTCAGAAGGTGCGTCTGAAATCTACTTGTATCCAGGCTGGAGACAGCACCACAAGGACTTTTTTCCCCTGTTCTGCGACAAGCACATGGACTTAATTTTCACCAGAGACAGAAATAAGAATAAGAAGCAGACTGGCACCTGCCATTGAGAAGCAGAACTTTCTCTAGAGTTGTATTCGTTCTTTCTGCACGTATGTAAACAATATTTGACTGCGACCAAGTGCAGAGACTTCCCTGTCTGCTGGGATCCCATCACATCTTCTCAAGTTATTTCTCCAGAGATGACTGTCTGAAGAAGGAACGGCGAAAAGAAGCCACCTGACCTGCAGAAGTTACCTGTCTGAGTGATTGAGGTGAAGCAGAAGGGTGAGGTAAGTTCATATCTGAATCTTTCATTTTCCTTCCCCTCTGGGCGCAGGCATATGTCATCTCTGAAAATGTTTTTCATATCCCGTTGCTTCACAGCAATTGAATCCAAATGCAAGACAGAGAGAGAGAGAGGGAGGAGAAACAGTCAGGTTCACATCTCAATCATGAGACCAACATAATTCTCAGCGCACTGCTACACACAAGGCAGATTAACAGAATGTTTTAGTGCTCTGCCCCCATTAATCTCTGCAAAATATGTGGCGCATTTTTCTAAACAGAGCCACCTGGCTACCATTGCATTTATGCTGATGCTAGTTTTATAGTTTGTTTGTGGTTTGTGCGTGCTTGTTACTGTATAGGTTGTGTGGTTCAGGTAGTGTGGTATATGTCTCACAGCTGTTTTGGAGTTGGAGAGGGAAAGAGTTATATAACTGCAGCAGTCTCGCTCTCACTGACACCTGGAACTGTTTGGTCTGCACTCTGTTGTGCACCAATGCCACTCACTTAAATTTAGCTCCACCCACAGTGTTCTGAAGTCCATGCCTACTTCTCAGCTTTTGAAAGTGTTTCATTTTGACCTGTCAGACATACTCCTCTTATTATTATTTGTGTTGTTGTTCTGGAAGTGTTTTGAGCTGTCAGACATTTCAGAGGTTTAAATCACATGAAATCAGATCGTTTAAAGTTAACATGAAACCGAAAGGAACCCTATTTATTATGATTATTATTATTATTATGGAAGTGTTGTGTTTTGACCTGTCAGGTGTAGTTCACTTCAGAGGTTCAAATGTCAAGTTAAATCATCACTTTAATGTCAAAATGATTATTATATTATTATAAATTAATATTATTATTATTATATATTATATACATACATACATAAAGGATAAATTGTCAAATTAAGTTGGTCCTTTTAAAGTCATCATGAAAACTAAATGAACCCTATTTATTAATGGTAATAATAATGATGATGTTAGTTGTTGTTGTTGTTGTTAATAAAAATTATTATTCCTTAACATACATTCCTTGTCCTATTCTGAATGATTCCTTGTTCGATATTCTAAATTTAAAAGAATGTTTTGTGTTCATAATCATTCAGCAAAATTTAATAACTTGCTCCGCCTCCAATGCTGATGTCACAAATATCTATTTTTCAGCTTCTCCCCTCCAACCACTTGCATTTGTTTTCATATGTAATGCCCATTTATTACAAGCCAATCAGTTTTTGATGGATAAAATCTTGCCATACTTTATTTTTCTCTTTAAATTATTAAAAAAATATATGAAATATGTCCGATTATGTTGCAAAAGTCATTTCATGTTGACTTGAATGGAAATATCTAGTGTTTTGTTTTTGTTTTTTCAACTTTTGATGTATCTTAGTCAGCAGTAGCTTCTCACCTCAGCAAGCGTTGTACATGATGTTTTGTCAAAGAAGGTCTAAAAGAGCTTCTTTGTAATGTTTCAGCTTTTCCACACATAATCAATACTGCACATGGCATGAGCTCCTTGCTGCTGTCTTAATTTCAGACAGAGAGCGAGAGAGGACTGTGAGAGAAAAGGGAATGTGCTTTCATAATACATTCTTCACCAAGAGCACTGGGGAATAGTATTCAATAATACTTTTTTCTCGTCTGAGTAGCAGGGCCCAGCTTCTACACAACTGAAACCGACCCAGTCTGGAAAAGACGACATGCTCTCCTCTAAAAACATTTGGCGCCTCAACATGATGGCTTTCAGGAGGAGAAGCGGTTGAGGTCTGACTGTGAACCTGTGCGTCAGTGCCGCTAGTGCTCCCGAATTGCACAAGCTGATTTGAACCCCTGAGTTGAAAAGAGTGGTTAGAGAAAAAGTGTCTGAGACACTCCGCAGACAGAGGGCCCATCATCCTCGCACACTTCTGATTCCTCCATCTGGAAATGGATGGGATGCTGTCTGTGGTTAGTTCAGAGGACAGGAAAGTCAGCTGTAAAGTATGATGTGATTTTATGATGAATCTGGTCCTGTTATCAGGAGATGCAGCAGACAGCGTCCCACCTTTCTGACTGCAATTACAGTCATAGCTTTAGTCCACCAAACACCTCACTCCTTCTCACACATACTTTGACCCTTCTCCCCACATGCACATTTCAGTTAAAGCCAAGGAGAACTGTTGTACCCGGTGAAAGCTATTTCTATGCATTAGCAGTTTATTTTCAATTTGAAATCTGACATTTTTTGCACATGGGACCATAGAAATTTTTCAGCCACACCTGAGCTGTACATGTCATTTGAGTAATCACTTCCGGAGCGGAGTAAAATGACATCATTACAAGTCCATTTCATGGTTTTAAAATGATAATTCACTCACAAAATAAAAGTTCTATCATTTAATCATCCTCATGTTGTTCCAAACCTTCATATTTTTCTTTATTCTGTGGAACAGAAAAGAAGATATTTTGAAGAATGTTTCAGCTGTTTTGTGCACGGAAAGTCAATAGAGACCAAAACAAGTGGGCCTCCGTTATTTTATTATTATTAATATACTGTTATAGTATTTATTATTTATATTTAGAATTTTTTCTAGCTTTTATTTTTCAGTTTCAATTTAATGTAAGTTTTAGTCATTTTATGTGCTTTTGTCATTTTTATTTAGTTTTTAATGTTTTTTAGTTTCAATTCATTTTTATTTCTGTTTTAGATTTTTTAGGGATGTCAGTACTTCAACTTAAACACTTTATTTCAGTTAGTTGCTAAGACAACATTTCTAATTTTCATTTACATTTACATTTACATTTAGTCATTTAGCAGATGTTTTTATCCAAAGCGACTTACAAATGAGGACAATGGAAGCAATCAAAATCAACAAGAGAGCAAAGATATGCAAGTGCTATAACGAGTCGCAGTTAGCGTAACGCAGTACACGTAGCAAGTGTACATTTTAACGCATTTACATTTGAAGTTTTTCATGTAATATTTATATTTTCATCTTATTTCAAGCTTATTACAATTAATAAAAATAATTTTTAATAGTTTTAATAAAAACTGCACTGTACTATTTTAACTTTCATTTTATTGACAAATAATTTTAAAACTTTTATTTTTGGAAAATAAAAAATGTCACATTAGAAAACATAACTTAATATTAATAATGTAAACAATGTTTTTATTTTTTTATTGTTTTTATGTGTTTGTTTTTTTTGTCTAGATGGTGTAGTTATGGTATCTTCCAGCAGGGAATAACAGGGTCATGCTAACCACCCAATTTTTGACCGCTTGGGCAAAGACAAATACTTTGGTAGTGTGAAGCTGCAATGGCCAGGCAATGCTGTAACCATGGATGCCCACTTTTGGGGTGGCCCAATAACTCTGCTGACTGCTTTTTATGATGTCGGTTGACTCTGCCAGGCTGGGCCTGATGAAATGCATTTCTTTCTTTATTACATTACATGACTCCAACCAACCTGATGGAGGCTTTTATATATGGACCATTCATAATTGGTGCACGCTTATTGGTTGTGCTGGTCAGTAAGCCTTTGTCCATGTCCAGCCATCTGTTCATTCTGGGGCAATTTTCACTCACTGAATCTTGTTTATAAGCTCTTAAAGGTCCATCGTAGACATTGAAAACCCTATTTCCCTGTGCTTTAGGTCCCTTTATCTCAAGGTGGATGAAAATGTGAGCCCTGGAGAAGCCATATCTGAGAAATAAAAAGAAGCAAAGCTGCTATCCAAAGCATTATGGATGTGTTTTTTCATTCAGCTTGTAATGGCTCACTCCAGATTCTATTCCCATTTGAGTTTTTATTTTTTTTACTGTGCAATGGAGGGAAATGATACAAAATCCATTACACATGCTCAATCAGTGGGAGAGACTAGACAGTGAATCTGGCCCAATGCAGACTGAGAAGCATATGGGTAATGTTGGACACACCAATATGTTGAACTTTTACTTCGGGTTTATGAGAGGCGATGTCTTGTATTGTGGCCAGCGGACCCTCAGCCAAGGTGAAGGAATAAATGTATATGTAGGACAGAATTGAGTGTCAAACTTATAAAGTATATGGATTGTCATGTACTGTCATATGGAGAATCTGTCTTTTTTTACATTATTCATAAACCTGTTGATGCTTATATGCCAACCGAGAAATGTGTTCCTTTTCTATTGAGAAGACCAGTAATCCACATGGCTTTTTTTTAAATAATGCCACTAGAGGGCAGAGTTGCTGACCTTGACTTGAAACACACAGATTCACAGTCCGGCCACTGGTACTGTGAGTACATCTGATCTAAGAAACTTAAATGACAAAGGCCTCTTTTCTTTCTGTGTAAATAGTAAAGCATTTAAAAGATTGCAATTACTGATTTATATTTGTTCATTACACCTCAGAAATTCATTGGTAACACTTAACAATAAGGTTCTGTATTTTAACAGTGATAGCTAAAATGATAGAAAATTAAAATTATAAAATTACAATACTTTTTCAGAGCATTTATCAATCTTGAGTAACGGTAATTTTTACATATACTAATACATTTTTAACATCGTAAGTAGTACACTGCAAACAAAATGCAGTGAATTAATTTTAATAAGTTTCATTTTTCTGGTTGTAAATTATCAAAAAATTCTTGAATCAAGCTTAATTTACTTGACACTGCACAACATATTAAAGATATATTTATCCGCAAAATTTATTTTTTTAATTTTTAATTCAGAATTTATTCATGTCGTTCCAAACGTGCTTGACTTTCTTTATTCTATAAAACATTAAATAAGATATTTTGAGAAATGTCCAGTCAATGGTAAAACCAAAACTGTTCGGTTACCAACAATTTTTCAAAATATTTTCTTTTGTGTTCTACAGAAGAAAGTCATACAGGTTTAGAACATCATGAATATAAGTAAATGATTTTTTTTGGGGGGGTGTCCAGAATATCCCTTGAAGACTTGCTTTCATCTTGAATACAGGTGTATTTTATCTTACTGAGCTGGCACATTTTTTAGCTTTGTTATACTTAAAAT